GGAAGCGCAGGCGCAGATTGCTGGGATGTGCGCGCCCGCTGTGGGATGTACCACTAGCGCCCCGAGCGGGGGGGTCCCAAGCAGGAATGCACCAATGCGGCGCGGGAGGGGCGTGGTTGTCATGGCCACAGGACTGGGACGCCGAGGCCTAGCACAGGACCCGGGCCCGGCGTTTCTTCTCCGCTGTTGCTACTGATTCCTCCGGTTCCCCAGCACTCCTGGAGACCGCCGCGCCCGGGGGCCAGCGTGCCGGTCTCTCTCCAGCAGCCTGTCCCAGTAGGGCGTTCCCTCCATCCCAGGCTTGCTGACCCCATCTCTTCCTGGCCGGGTGGCCCCGTTGTTCCCGGGCCGTGTCCCACACCATGGCTCACCTCCTGGGCCACCGCGGCTGCATGGAGAGCCTGCGGGCCGACCTGCGGGACCTGCAGGCCGCCATCGCCGACGTGTCCTCCCGGACCGGCGCCGTGCGCTTCCCCTCCTGGAAGTTCCCCGACAAGGTGTCCTGCGAGCTGGACATGTCGGTGCTGCTGCAGCGCTACAGGCACAGCGACAGCGAGCCCCAGTTCAGCCAGCACGCTCATGTGGTGCTGCTGGAGCTGCTCATAGACAGGTGAGAGGCACCAGCACCCCGGGGCGGCTCCTGCCCCGGGCAGGACAGGGAGTTGTGTGTCTGAACTTATGCAAGTTTTGGGCACCTCGGCACAGAAAAAACTTCAAGCTGTTAGAGAGTGTCCAAATGCGGGCTGAGAGGGTGGTGAAGGGCTGAGGGTGACAGCACTTGGTCTGTTCAGCTGGAACAGAGAAGACTGAGGTCAGACCTCACCGGGGCTGCAGCTCCTCCTGGGGAACAGCTCTGATCTCTGTGACCGGGGATGGGATTCAAATGAATGGCTCGAGCTGTGCCACAGAAGTTTAGGCTGCATATCAGGAAAAGGTTCTTCCCTCAGAAGGTGCTCGGGCACTGAAGAGGTTCCCCAGGGAATGATCACAGAATCAGCTAAGCTAGAAAAGACCTTGGAGATCATCAAGTCCACGCTATGACATAACACCACCTTATCGATTAAACCACGGCACCAAGTGCCACATCACGGCCCCAAGGCTGCCAGAGCTCCAGGAGCCTTTGGACAATGCTCTCAGGCACAGGGTGGGATTGTTGGGGTATCTGTGCAGGGCCAGGAGCTGGGCTTGATGATCCATGGGTCCCTTGCAGTTCAGGATATCCCGTGATTTCATGAAGTTTTTTGGATGCTTTGTTCCCCATGTATTTCCACGATGAGCAGTGCCAGCACCTTGGCCTCATGCCCTGCTGAGCTTTAAAACCCAGCTCCTTTCCCTGCTTAGAGCTCCCAGCACAAACTGGCCACGAAGAAGCAGAGCATGATCCACCCAGTAGCTGAGGTGGAGCAGATGGGACAGGCTTGTTAAACTGCCTCCCAGAGCATAACTGAAACACTTCAGCATTTTTGCAATTTTTTGGAAACACTAGGACACAGCTGCATCGACAGCCTTGGGAGGCCAAAGCCCCTTCTGCAGTCTGGATGAAATAAATACAACTCTGCTTTAAAAGATGAGCCATTCCCACTGAGCTGTTGGCCCTAAAAGTCAGGATTTGCAGCAGCATGGGTGCCCCAAATCAGTGGGGGGAGCTTAACCACAGCCTCTTGGAAGTGGCTGCTCCATGAAGGGATCCATGCCTGGGGAGTCCCGGGAGTAACAATCCCACCCTCCTGCCTCACACCAGCTTTGCTGGGTGATGGGAGTGGGCCGACCTCCGTGCCCCAGCTCACATTCCCAGCTGCTCCAAGTCGTTTTTCCCTCGGCACAGGCTGCTGCTGCTGCTGCAGAGCTTCACTGGCTATGCCGAGACGCTGCTGAGCGGGCGAGCGGTGCCGCTGGCGCGGGGCCTGGGGCCCTGCATGTCCGCGGGGCTCACGGCCAGGACCTTCTGGAGCACCATGCTCAAACTTGGGGCCTTCTGCCAGCAGCTCCAGGATGAGGTGGGACACCTGGGGACGTCCCATGAGCTGAGTCACTCCCCTCTCTGCAGGATTTGGATCGTGGCCCTTCTCAACACCCTGTGGCCACGCCAGATGTGTGTGCACCCTTTGAGTGCTGGCCTCTCTGTCACACATCTGTTCCCTCCCAGCCTAAGCCCCTTCCCTCCAGCGCTCCCAGCTATGCCAATGCATCCATCCTGTTCTAGGATCTCAGGATGGGTGAGCTGGCCTGCCTCTAGAGCTTGGAAAATATTCTCCTACTGCCAAAATGTTGCAGCTCTGCTGATCCCACTGTGGATCTGAGCTTCCCCAAGACAGTTAAATAATTGGTGGTAAAAACAACCTCTCCTGCATTTCATTTTCCCCAAAATGATCTGTCTCATGGAAAAGTCTCACAACAATCCATGTGGCAAAACCAGGAGGCAGTGCAGGGGGTGGGAAAGAAGGGATGGTGGGGAGTTGGGGAGTTGGGAGTTGCTGTCCTATCTCCACACCTGATTTAGGCTTTTATGGGTCATCTCCACTTTGATCTGGGCCCCAGTTTTATTCTGTGCTCTGTCCCTCAGGAGAAGGTTTGCAAGCGGGAGATCCCCACACAGCAATCCACTCCACCTTCTGCTCCCCAGGCTGGGAAATATCAGAAGGAGCACCTTAAATGCCTCTTGCCGGATGTTTTGGAGTCAGGAACTGCCCCAGAGGCTGCCCAGTCATCTGTGTGCCCATGTCCAAGTGTCCATGTGCCGGCCAGCTCAGACAGCTCCCAGCCCAGGGCTGGCCCCAGCCTGGCTCCGAGCACCCGCAGTGTCCCCACGCAGACTCCAGGGTCACCCCTGGGCTCCTGTGACACCTGCTCCAGCACCCAGGCCAGCCTCCACGAGGTGAGCAGAGCCATCACCAGCATCTGCCAGAGCCAGAACATCCCCTCTGCTCTCAGCAAATTCCAGGAGGTGCTGAAGGACAGCGCAGAGAGAAGGAACCTCTCTGCAACAGACATGAGCTACTGGGCCTCGGAGCAGAGCAAGGCCCTCTCCCGGATCAATAAACACCTCCAGGGGCTGCTGCAGCAGGTGAACCCCCTGAAGGCTGAGCTGGAAGAGATGGGCAAACAGGAGGAGAAGCTGCAGAAACAGGTTGAGGACTTTTCCAGGAAGCTGCAGGCAGAGAAGGACGCCCGAACAGAGCAGCAGAGGAAGGCTGAGCAGAGCCTGAAAGCCAAGGACAAGGAGCATTCCGAGGCTGTGGCCAGGCTGGAGCAGGACAAGGACGACCTCCGGAGAGGTACAGAGCTGTTCCCAGCATCCCCTCCCACGCCTGGGGGCATTTTCAGGAGAAGAACAGAGTCCATGGGCAAATTTTGGCCCCACCACAACCAGCAGGGCTTTTTGTAGCTGCTGGGGGATTTTCCCTGCTGTGAGGCTAATCCCAGGCACTGGGAGTTGGTGTCCTATTACCTCTTCCCTGATAGCACAACACGATCACTTGACAAAAACACTTTGGTGTGGCTGTTTGCTTCCCCTTGGTTTAGGTGGCTTTTTTTGAGGAACTGATTAATGAGAGAGTTTTCTTGCTGGTTTAGGAGCTGCTCTGCTGGAGGAGCGACTCTCAGCCCTGAAGGAGGAGCTGGCAGCGAAGCAGGTGGCTGTGCAGGAGCTGGGTAAGGGGCTCATCCAGGGGTTCACTCAGCTCACACCTCTCCCCTCTCACCCTGGTCTCTTGAGTGTTTCACACCCACGGAGCCCCCAGCACCCCCAGACTGCGCTGTGGGGATGGTGGGGATGGGCAGAGAATGGGCCTCCTTCACAGTAGCACCTCAACATCACCCAGTGCCAGAGTGGGCTGATGCTGGTGGAGGTTTGAGGGGGGCCACAGGCCTTCTGTCAGACCTGTCTCCCTTTGCCAGGGCCTGTGGAGGGCATGAGGTGCCCCTGAACCACAGAATCATGAACTGGTTTGGATGAGCAGGGACATTAAAGCCCATCCCATTTTACCCCCCCACCACGGGCAGGGACACCTCCCACTGTCCCAGGCTGCTCCAAGCCCCATCCAGCCTGGCCTTGGACACTGCCAGGGATCCAGGGGCAGCCCCAGCTGCTCTGGGCACCCTGTGCCAGGGCCTCCCTCCTCCCAGGGAATAATCTCTTCCCCCTACCCCATCTATCCCTGCCCTCTGGCAGTGGGAAGCCATTCCCTGTGTCCTGTCCCTCCATCCCTTGTCCCAAGCCCCTCTCCAGCTCTTTTGGAACCCCTCTAGGCACTGGGAAAGGTTCTTAAGTTCTCCCTGGAGCCTTCTTTTCTTCAGACTGAACATCCCCATCCCTCTCATCACCTCCATGGTCCTCCAGCATCTCACCCCTACCCAGCCTGGGCCATGGTGGCTGTGTCTTCCCAGAGCTCTCCAAGACCACCTTGCTGGAAAGGATGACCACAATGGTGGCCCGGAGCCAGGTGCTGGAGCTGGAGGAGAAGGTGCAGGTGCTTATAGGCCAGAGGGACAGCCTGCACCAGGAGCTGAGTGCCACCAGGGTGCAGCTGGAGAAGGAGAAGGTCCGTGTGGAGAGCATGTTCCAGCACGAGGAGGTACAGCCGGCTCTGGAGCGGATGGCTGAGCTGCTGCTCGGTGTCAGGGCTGTGGGGAATGGGTGCCACAGCCCCACACAGGCTCACCCCCACCACCACAGTCCCTGCAGGCTAAGCAGAGGACCCTGCTGCAGCAGCTGGACAGCCTGGACCAGGAGCGCGAGGAGCTGCAGACCAGTCTGGCAGAGGCTGAGGAGGAGAACACCCGGCAGGTGTGGGACACAGGCTGTGCCACAGGGCTGTCAGGAGCCACTCACTGCCCTGTCCCACAGCCAGTTTTCCCAGGAGAGATACTCTGGGGCCTAGGGTGACACTGTCACATGGTCACGTCCTCATGGGATTCCCTGGGGAAGAGCCCTCTCCCTCCACCCTGTGCCAGACAAGTCTCTGGTGGAGTCAGGGCAGAGGGGAGCAGCAGGAAGGGACATCTTGAGGTGCTTCCACATCTCGTCTTCTGTTCTTGGACACCTGGACATGCTGCACACTTCACAGTTGGTGCTCCTGCTTCCAGCACACACAGGGATTTCACAGCTAAAACCCTGCACATTGTCACTGTCCCCAGTGCCACAGGACATCCACACATCAGGGAAGGGTGGGAGCTTTCCATGAGGGGCTGAGTCCTCACTCTTGCAACTTCATCTCCTCCCCCCTGTGCCATGCAGGAGCTGCTGGACACGCTGCAGCAGGAGAAGCTGGCACTGGAGCAGTCCATCCTGGAGCTGCAGGCAAACACATCCCAACTGCAGGAACAGGCACAGGAGCTGAGGGAGCGGGAAAGGCTCCTGGTGTTCTTCCCCGATCTCCACATCCCCACTGAGATGCAGTTTGAGAGTAAGGGAGCAGATGGCAGCAGAGTGTGTTTGTGCCTTGGGGTCTCCAGAGCTCTCGGGGGATCCTGCTGTCCCACTGATAGCCAGGAAGGGCTCAGAGCCTGTGCAAAGCTGTGACCATCCCTGCATGGGTGCTGTGCATCCCACATTTTGGGCCAGGATACACAGCAGGACCAGGACATGGCAGAGCTTCCTCTGCCCACAGGGCTTGGGGTCCCAGCTGCCACTTCCCAGGCTGTGCTGGTGCTCCCTGCCCAGGGCAGGCTCCTTTCCTTGGGAGGCAGGAGGGCTGGCCACACCTCTGAGCAGGCAGGCAGCAGCTGCAAGCTGGGCTCTCTTGGATTTTGTTTGCAGGCAGCGGGAACTTGACAGAGGACATGGAGAGTCAGCTCCAGGCCAACACCATCCGGATCGAGGTGCTGGAGCGGGAGAACGCACAGCTCGAGGCTCTGCTCGCCAAGGTGAAGGCAGCAGCTGAGCAGGGCGTGCTCAAGGTGAGCTGGGTGCCACAGGGGTGGGTGCTGTGTACCCCAAAACCACCCCGTGGCCCCCAGACACCCTCTGAGGACCCTGTGAGGGCCAAGCCCAGGCTGCACATGCTGCTGGAAGGTCGCTCTGGTTTAACTGGTGTTGCCTGGGTTGGTTCCAGCTCCTTCCCATCACTGACCACCAGCTGTGGTGGCCAAGGGATGTGATTAGAGCTGAAGCTGGTGGTGGGAAATTTCACCTCCTCTTCCCTTCCCCAGCTTGTCCCAGAGGCCCAGCTGGGGTCCCAGCTCCACAGGGAGGCTGGCAGGCAGAACCCTGGGTGAGTAGGAACCCAGAGGAAGAGGCTGGGGGTGTGTTCCCTGCTCTTCTTCCCCTTTAACTGCTCCCACCCCACAGGCGGCTCAGCAGTGGAAGCAGCAGGGACAGCACAGGGACGCCAGGATGCACAGACAAGGCCTGGCATGGAGCTGCCAGCAGCCACAACTCCAAACAACTCCAGGCAGAGCCCACATCCCAGGCCAAACCCTGCCTAACGCTCTCAGTGCGACGCCTGGGGCTGGGCCCCCCCTCACACCACACTGGGGCTCACCACAAATAAACACAGATCAGTCTGAACTTCCCAACAGAGAAATTGTGTTCCACCAGCAGCCACCTGCCCTGCCCAGGGGACCTCATTACCAGTTCTTTGTGTATTAGGAAGGTGCATTCCCTTGGGAAACCTGGGCTCTGCCAGGTTCCTTGGGGAGCTGCTCCAGGGATGTTCCTGGGCACTGGAGCTCAGTCACCCATGGCTGTGCCACTGCTGCAGTCCCCAAAAGAGTCCTGGGCAGGACACAGCATGTGCTAACTCCTGCCAGGAACCATTCCCAAGAGGGGACTGGGATGTGGCCACACTTGGAAGAGGAAAGCAGAGCTGGCCTGGGATGAGAGGAGTCTGAGTCACCCTTAGCCCACCAGCACAGCCACAACCTGGGAAAATCATTCCCCCCTCCATGAACACCCAGAGGGGCTGGAAGTCACTGGGAGTCACTGGTGCAGGCTGGCCCTGACCTCTGAGCTGCCTCCCCAGCACTTTGAGCGCCGTGCAAGCCCCACACAAACCACACAGCCAGCCTTGCTCCATGTTTAATAGGGATGGATACGTGCCATGTTGCAGCCCGTGGGGCAGAACCCAGGCAGGGCTCACAGCAGGTCCCCAGTCACCGTGCTGGGTGAGCCAAGCCCTGTGTTGGCTCTGCAGCCGACTCGTGCCATCCTTTCTAATAAGTTATTATAAATAAAGTGTCTGACCCCTGCCCTCCCACACTGAGGCTGTGAGTCTCCCCACAGCCCTGTCAGCCCCAGCCCTGGCAGGTCTGTCACCCACCTCCCAGAGGGGCCAGCACCGCAGCCAGGCTCTGCCTACCCTGCCACGGCCACCAGCAAATAGACAAAAAACCCAAGACTTAGAAAAATTGCTGTGAGCAGGGCAAGAGCACAGCAGGAACAGGGCTCTCCCTGCCCTAGCTCCCACCCCGATACACCCATGGGTGCCCCAAATCTTCCCTCCCCAACGCTGCCCATCTGGACCCCCACCCCTGTACTCACACCCAGCAGGAGAGCCCTGAGCCCTTTCCTCTCCAAAGTCTGGGCACTGTGCCGGGCACAGCCACACCAACCCTGCTCTGGCAGCAAGTGCCGCTCACCAGGCACCCCCTGACCCCTCCCTGTCCCTGGAGCGGCCGTGGTCTGTCCTTGGAGTGTGTCCTCGGGCCAGCTAGCTGTCCGTGCAGCAGTTCCCTGCAAGGGAGGACAGAGAGCCTTTGCACAGGGAGCCTGGCAGGCTCCAGGCCCTCCCCAGCCCGTTCCCCAGGGCCAGCGGGGGCTCAGCTGGGTGCCAGGGCGGTTCTCACCCAGGATGTTGCGCTTGCAGAGAGGGCAGGTCTGCTGCAGCAGGAGCCAGGGATCCACACAGTCCCGGTGGAACTCATGGGAGCAGGGCAGCACCCGCAGCCACTGCCAGCAGGGAAGTGAGGGCACATGTGAGCACAGCCGGGTGGCAGGGACACAGCCCAGACCCTGGCAGGGACACCCTGGTCCCAGCCAGTGACTGGAGGCTCGGCCCAGGGTGGGCTCCAGTCCTCCCAGTCCCACCTGGCTCTTGTGGAACTGGTCCAGGCAGACAGCACAGCTGTCGATCTCGCAGGCCCGGCTCCGGGGCGGCTTCCCGGGATGGTACCGCCGGGTTTTCAGCGCCAACAGCCGCCGCCGGATGTGCCGCTTCAGGTCCAGCTGCGGGGACAGAGCCAAGGGTCAGAGCCCACCCCACAACCCCCGGCACGGAGCACAGCGGAGATGTTCCCACATTCCCACCTCGGCGTCCCGCTCCGACAGGTCCTGCCGCGACTGGCGCTGCGCCTGCACCATGACGCCGGTGCAGAGCAGCAGGGCGATCAGCAGGATGGTGTTCCACAGCTGCTGCAGGTACTTCTGTGGGGACAGCACGGTGGGGATGGCAGCCAGAGAGCCCAGCCCCACTCCCAGCCCCACCCAAACCCCAGCGCCGTACCTGCACCTGCGAGCTGCTCTCCCCGGGGCAGATGACCCCCTGCCACTCCCCGTAGAGGCCCCCTCGGGACAGGCCGCAGGTTGACCACAGCGTGAGGGTCACTCCCTGCAAGGCAGGACATGGCATTGCTGATGGCCACAGCAGCGTCCAGCAGTGCCAGCACACGTGTCCTGGGAAGAGGAACGCTGGTGCTGCCGGCTGCTCTGTTCCCACTGGATCCCTTCCCTTCCCTGCTCCCTGCAGCTGCTTGCCATAGATAAGAGAAGTTTGGCTGGGCAGTCATGCCCTCCCACTGGCAGAATGAGGAAGAGGAGGACACACAAACATACCAGGTTCTCTAGAAGCACTGCCTGGTACGTGATCTTTGCCGTAGCCCGGAGCCCACTGTGAGCAAAAAGAAAGTGTCCATTCCATGGACACAGCAGGATCCAGGCACAGCTCTCCAGTGCCAGGGGCATCCCCTCCCCACACAGCCAGACAGCCACCAAGGGGGACCAGACGAACAGACAGGGGAGGTGACAACAAGACACTTCCTCCCCAGCTGTGCCCAGCCCTCAGTGATCCTGCAGAGAGCTCTTCCTCCCAACCTCATGCCTCAGTTTTCCCATGTGTGACACCATGGCAGCAATCCCAATGTCCCATATGTCAGGAGGATTGACAGAGTCCCACTGCTGCTGGTGGTGAGAACAAACACCCATGGAGGTTGTGGGGATGCTGGTGCCACAAGAAATAACTGGTCTCAATGATTTCTAAGTTTCAGATTTCTAATGAGAGTCCTAAAGCTCTTGGGTGAGGCCACTGTCACACATGCTACCACATGGGGAACCTGGAAGGGCTACAGCCTTGGGGAAGGGCTGGATCTGACCCAGATCTCCCCTGGAAACACATCTCGGCCCCAGCTGGCCTTGGCATGGCACAACACCACCCCAGCAAACACCATGGGCTGAGTGAGAAACCCCAGGGTGGTCCCTGGGTGTCATAGCCTGCAGAGGGACAAGGCAGTGACCAGGCAGTGACCAGGCAGGGTTCAGCCCCTCCCACACCCCAGCCCGTACCGCAGCAGTGCTCCCAGCAGCCTGGTGACGTTGTCCGAGGACTGGATGACGATGACGGGCTTGGCGAGCAGCTGGGACACGTCCAGCTGTACCGGGAGGGAAGCGGAGCCGTCAGTGGGGCACGATCCCCGCCCGGCCCCACCGCCAGTACTGTCCTACCTCACGGATGGCGTTCTGGTTCAGCGCCAGGATGAGCAGGGCAGAGGCCCCCAGCACCAGGGCCCGCTTCATCTGCAGGGACAGAGGGGACATGATCAGGGGACAGCAGGGCTGTGTCCCCAACAAGCTCCTGTCCTGCTGCAGGAAGCACCCAGCACCTCTTTGCCAGGGTGAAGGGTCACAAGGGACCCAAGAGAGGACAGAAGCTGTCAGAGACCCCCTTGGCCACCAAGCACAGATCAGGACCCCCTGGATCTGGCCAGGAGACACCCCAGGTGACACCTCTGCAGTTTTGTGACCTGCAAACACCACAGCAGCCCTCAAGCCAGGCAGGGGACAGGGCCAGGCAGAGGGGACAGGGCCAGGCAGAGGGGACAGGGCCAGGCAGAGGGTCACCTTGGTGACAACGGCGGTGGTGAAGGACTCCTCCTTGGCACCCCGGGGGCCCTCGGCCGGCTCCTCTGTGCCCACGGGCACCACCCCGATCCAGCTGTCCGCAGCGCCCAGCTCCGGCTCCACGTCACCCACCTGGGGACATGGCAAGGAGAGGGAGAGCTGCAATGGATCCCAAGGTTCAGGGCATCCCCAAAGCACCTCCATGTCCCCAGGGGTCCTGGGGAGCCAGGCACTGTATGGGGACAGGGACAGCAGCTGGGGTAACACAGGGAACACGGCCTGGCCCCCGCTATCTCTGTGCCCCTCCCTGCACCTCCTCTCTGCTGCTGGCCACACCCGAGCAGCGCTACCTGTCCTGGTCAGCCCCCAGTGTCCCAGGCGTCCCCACCAATCACCCAGTGCCTCCCAGTGCCCTTCAGTTCCCACTTCTCCCCTGCCTCATTCATGTCCCAGTGCCCACCGACCCCTCCTCCCACATTGACCACTGCCCTGCCAATGCGCACTGGTCTCGGTATCTCCCAGTTCCCACTGATTCTCCCTCATCACTGCCACCAGCACCCCCGTCCCCAGCCCCAAACCGAGCAGCCCCTCAATGTCTCCCAGCGCCCCGTCAGTCTCCA